ATCGTCTATCTGTATATCTCGCTCTCCGCATTCTTCGCGATGGTAATACCTTCGTGACGCTCAGGTGGGACGTATTGGAGACAGGGAGCAGCGCCAAGAAGGATTTGTTCGTCCATCGTAGGGCCTTGCAGAGAGAGATGCTGCGCGAGGACGCCCACTCGCCGATTCACGGCCTCCGACCGTCCTTCCATGGCGAAACCAGCGCGATGCACGCAACGATGCGAAACGACGCGTTACGAACGAGCGCGTGATGCTATCAACCGCGAAACTCGCTCGCGCTTCCAGGTATCCGCTGACAAACCCGAGGCTTCGCAGATGAAAACGGAAAAAGAGCAAGTGACGAGAAATGAGAAAATGGAGAAAGGTAGAAGAGCAAAGCCTCGTTGGCAAAATCAACGAATGGAGAGCTGGGACTCAAAATGCCGTCTTTATACGTCGGCCATCGGAAAGGGAAATTTCGCTCCCCGTGGGGTGGTGGTGTGGAAGCTTTCAGGGAGTCACCGACACGAGAGAGCACTAACGTTCCTGCTTGCTCTTGGAAAGCGCATCAAGATTGTGGCCTCTCAGGCTCAGGCTCTGTGGGGAGAGTGCGGCCCACATCAACCTTGGGATTGCCCCAGTGTGGGACAAAATGCCGTCATCACTTCCGCAAGCCACGAAGTGTCCAGCTAGTATCGACGTGGAAGTGTCCCAAGAACAGCTGGGCTGGGACAACTCAGCGAGGATGAGAGGGATGGGTGTACAGGTCAATGGAGGTCGAGATTTCGTTGGTTGTCGTCAATGGGGTTGCGCGGGGTCTGCGAAATTCCTTCAACGTCGTCGCCAGCAAAGTGAAGTTACAAATGTGCACTCGTTAACCTTCACTACGTACGAGCTACAAGGAAAACTCGAATTCATATCATGTGCAAGTTCTATTGACCATGCCATGTCATTTTCTAGCAGAAAGAGGACGGGAAATGCCCCATTTACCACAAACTTAGAGGGAACGTAGTCATTCGGAGCCAGATGGATGGGGAGGCGCAAGCCGCACACGTGTTCTCGAGGTGAGAGTTCCTGAACCTAATTCTCTTCTTTTACAGGAGCATGGCAGGTTCTGCTTCGAGGGAGAACAGAAGGTGACCGATTAGGTGGCAGAACGGCACCCAACGCAACAGCGTTGAGGGATAACAGAAGGTGACTGGTTTGATGGCACACCTTCAAAGGAAGCAGGAAGGGGTTCTGAGAAGGTATTTTTTGCATGCCCTACTTGCTCGGATCACTGAAGACCACTATCGGGGTGGACATTTGACAAGCCCAAACGGTAGTGATGCTTATGCCGGTAGGTGGCGCCAGTGATGAGTGGCTCTCTGGTGGTGTTTGGAGCGGGAGGAAATCGACGAGCAGGAGGATGCGTGGGGTGCTTTATGGGGCATATGCACCCTGCTTGGTGTGTGTGAGTTTGGTTGTGGGTTGGCTACATTTCTGTGGGCTTGTTGTGGCACCAACCGCACCGATTGGCTTGCAAGATCAGCCATTGAAATTGCTCTAGTGGCTTCTGTGTGCCAGAAGTTTTGGTCCTATTCATCACAATAGTACGGGAGCTTTAGCGCCATGCAAGTGCAGAGTGAGATTACTTTGAATGTATGGAGAGCAGAAAGAACCGATTTTACTGGAAGCCACATACTGCTTGGTTGCTTTATCGAGCGCACACGCTTCTAGCTTGAGAAACGCTATACTTGCAGGTGCAACCAAGCGATCCATCCGTGCACCGGCAAGCCTTCCCCGCGTTCGCCGCAAAGAAACAGAAGTCCTGGCAGCCGAGGAAGTTTCCGGCACAAAGGCACGGATTGTTCTTTGCGTCACTGCACCGCTTGCAGGGGCGCTGGTAACCACCAGGCTCGTAACACGCCACCGAGCAATACTGCCCATCACGATTGCACAGGCAGCCGCTGCCGTCGAAGTTGTAGCAGGACTTGCAATCCATTGTGCGTGATACCTTGCAGAAAGTCATGCACTGGTCACCCAGGCAGTAGCAATTGTCCTCCCCTGAAATCTGCTGGTCGCACATGCGGCACTGTTGCCCCTCCGTCTGTCCCGCAACGCATACCGCCAGAGCCGGGCTGATATTTTTCAGCTTCAGCGGCTTCTCCGGCGGAGCCTTCTTGGTTGGTGGCGTCGTCGCCAGTATCTTAGCGGGGACCTTGGCTGGTGTTGGGACAGTTGGAGTTAGCGGCTTAGACGGAGAGGCTATCTGCGGGAGTGGCGGAGATTTGGTGACCGCCGGAGCCTTGGCCGCTGCTGGAGTCTTCGCCACGGTTGGGGTCTTCGGTACTGGTGCAGTCCTCTTCGTTCCTGTCGGAGTCTTCGCTACAGGGGGAGTAATCGTGGTTGCTGGGGTCTTTACTGGTGCAGTCTTCTTCGTTCCTGTCGGAGTCTTCGCTACTGGTGGAGTAGTTGTTGCTGCTGGCGAATTTGCCACTGGCGAAGTCTTAGCAGCAAGCGGCTCCGTGGATAGAAGTGCTTGGGCCTGGGGGACGGCGGGTGTGGGCTCGATTGATGGGACGGGCACGGAGGACTTGGGAGTGGAATTGGATGGACTTGCCGTGCTGCTGCTCTTCGATTGGAAATCTGAAGCTGACCGGAGGGACATGAGCTGTTGACCGGTTACGCTCGCTGAAGTCACGGGAACGGATGCAGGAGATGCTTGGGTGGTTTGACCGACGACTGGATGGATGTTAACGAGGGAAGAGAGGAGGAGGATGCCGTGGAGAAGCGCAATCGGCGAAGGGACGGCGGAGATTTGACGCATTGAAACGAGAAGTTGCAGGGATCGGCAATGGAGATTCGTGAGTCTTGCCATGGTTCACAACGGAAATGGCGACCAGGAGAGTTCTGGTGCAAGAAACGATTTTGCGTAAGGTTCCAACGCCCTTTCGATAATTCAGAGAGCACAAGAGGTCGACCAGCGATTCTGGCTATAGAGATAACAAGGCAATCGGTGCATATCCACGGTAAGCTGCTGATCCAGAACTATGCACTGAACAACCGAGAGCGAGCAGCGTGGGGAGACTACAAACTAGGTTTTTTGCGTCGTAGAATTTCGCGAAAAAGTTCACTAGGCTAAAAGGCTCAAAGCAAAGGCGAGGAAGAATGAAACAGACTGAAGGGAGAATCGGTTACCGATTGGCGAGGCTCAATAATAATCAAAATCATTGTTAGTCTCGCACCTATCTTATCAGACGAGCGGAACTTCCAGGCCCTGCTGCTGGCTACCCAACTGGAATCGCGTTGGTTTGATTTGAAGATTGTCGTGCCGCTGTCGGTCAGCTATTCAGATGTCGGTCGGGGGGGAGTGGCGGGGAAACTAGTTTTACTGGGTCAGAAGAAACCGTGAGTCTGCGCTTGTGGGAGTGGCTTGCAGAATCGAGGTGCAGTTTGTGACAGCAAGGGCAGCTGCAGACGTCAAAATTGACGGCAGAATTTAGCGATGGTTTGGCGGCTTGGCGTGTCTGACAAAGATGAGGAGGGAACACGCTTTCCCGCGGTCCCAGGCCGTCAGAGACACAAGAGGTGAGAGTCAGCAGCGGGTATTCGCTTATCGAGACATGTTTGCTACGAATGAGGGTACATCCTAAACGTGGCGAATTATACAACACAAACATTGTCTAGAGCCGAGAAAGTATTGATGTGACTAGTTCCGTAGTGGCTGCGTACTGAGGAAAGCCTCGTACGGGTAACAGTGCAGCCCCCGCGAGGATGGGACCATTCTCGCTGTTTCCTTTCACTTCCCTTGTTTCACATCCACCACTTACGTAACGTTCATGTTGACGTGGCAAGCGTCAACAACCACCATTCCCATAGCAGATTGAGTGGCTTCTCGCACATTCTCCCACCGAAGCATCGTCATTTGTGCGGCGGATGTCGTCATTTGTAATGTCACGCTGCCTTGCTGTCGACAGTCAGCAGCAATCGGAACAACACATCAACCATCGTGTCATGTGACGCAACGCACTTGGCCTTTGCTTCACCATGCGATTCACTTGGCGTTTGTATTGGTGCTCGCTGGCGACGATCCCACAGCACCATTCGCTGAGGTGGCGAGGCGCGAGCTGCAATATGACATGACATACAGTACGTGATTCATGCTTTTGCCTGTTCAGACACCTTGACTGGTCATCATCAGTGGCAGCCGATGTTCCCCTGACATGGTTGGTGAATCAACGGTCATCCTGTGGACTGACGTCCTGCGAGTGGCCGAAATTGGTGACAGTGGTTTTCGCGAATGCCACATCCCACAAAACAGGAGCTGTTGGTGGTAGGCACCTGCTGTTGTATTCCCAAGGCAGGATAGCGCGTGTGTTTGGGGATTAGGGTTTGATGGATTTTGCCTGCCTCACGCTGGATATCTTGATAATTGTTTCGTAATCACACCCTACGCTAAAAGGGTAAATATCACGATCCAAACTGTTTGATCTGTTTCTGGGTTCGGTTCAAATTATAGCACTTGCCTACCTGAAATCAAGGACTGGAAATCGAAGGACCCGAACTTGAATATCAAAAAAAAAATTCTGGCTCCTTATCAACAGAGAGGCAAGCGGCTTTTGAGGTTTCAGGGCAATTGATCCAATTTAGGTCTACAGCTTCAAAAGCCCGAGATGTGACCCCCATCCTTTCTACTTCTTCCTTGCTTGTTCTGGTCATAAGTTTTTGTTCGTGCAGCTCTGTTGTTTCAGATTTTAGGGCATTCAGTGATTGAGGTATATCGTGTCTCTCGTCTTCGGCTAGCCCAGCCGTTGATTTGGCTTCTCGTCCCGTATAGCTTGACTTCCAGGTCCGACTGGGCTGACCCTGCATGGGCGGCGTTTTCCTCCCTCCAGTGTGGTCGCTGTTAGATTACCGGCTTTGCTTGTAGCACGGGGTTTCCCAGGGCAAGCGAAGCAGTCTTGTGCGTCTTATTGTCGCAGTTTCGTCCCCGACGCTCGTAACGAGCTCCAGTCGCAACACTTCCTCAGTGGTGATTTATGGCATGTAAGTCTTCGTTCGCGTAATCCGTACCATCGCTTGCACTCGTATCTTAGTTCTCTTACGCCGTCCTTACCCACATCCAAGCTAGATCCTCCGACGTAACTTTCCTCTCGGCAAATTTTGTTCCCGGCCCCGTTCTCCCCATCTGCAGCAAGACCACCTCCGCCGAAACCTTGGGAGAGGGCGCAGCAGAGCACAGGAGCGGCATCGTCGTCTCCGTTCGCTCCGTCGGCGCCGGCTGCCAGCACGTCGCAGGTAGTCGCAGAGGCCGGCACCGCTGGGAGCAACCCGGTAACGGCTGCAGACGCAGCGGCTGCTGGCCGTCCTATGCCATCTCGGCCGTGGGAAGGAGCAACCACTGCTGCAGGTAAGCCGATTAGGACTCTTATTGCAACTGTGAGTCGGCTGCTGATAATTATTGTTGTTTTTTTTAACGTCTTCAACTCGATTTCGATGGCACTGCCTGGACCTGTCCGTTTTCGAGCTCTCCCCTCCCGCCACCCCGCCTTTTGTTGAAGGCTCTCTTCCCGTGTCCGTTGTTTCTCCCTTTCACGGTATCTCTTCTCCTCTCTCTTTCCGCGCAGTAGACGTTTCGTCTGTCGGTTGCCGCCGTTGCAGCTTTCCCCGTTCCCCGCATCCTGCTCCACGATTCACCGACTGATTGTTCCCTGTGCGGCATACGCATCGTGTCCCCGCAGGCGCAAGCGCGGTTTCCCCGTACGGTTCGTCCGCCTACGGCACACCCGCCAGCACCGCCGGCGGAGCCTACTTAGGCGCGAACCGCTACGGCAGCGGCATGAGCTCGCTCTACGGTGGCGGGGGCATGTACGGTGCGGGCGGCACCGCCTACGGCAGCGCCTATTCCTCTCCCTACGCGTCGCGACTTGGCGGCGGCTACGGCGCCGGGGGATACGGGGCTGGCGGGATGTACGGCGGAGGATACGGGTCTAGTTACGGCATGGGCGGAATGGGCGGATACGGAAGCAGCCTTGGCGGGGGGATGTATGGGTCGGGGATGACGATGGGGGGAATGGGCGGGGGGATGTATGGGTCCGGCATGGGCATGGGCTTGGGCATGGGCATGGGGTACGGCGGTGAGATGGGCATGGGGCCGCATGGGGGCGATCCTAATGCTCCGCCGGATGGTCAGGGACCCCCGCGCGCGCCCACCTTCTGGGTTTCCATGCTGCGAGTGGTGAGTGGCTGTGTGCATTGAAAGAAGGGTATTCGTTTTTATTAGAGAGGGAGCGTGGGGTGGGAGTAGGGAAAACATTCAACCAGATTGTCTGATGTATTGAAAGCTGAGTGATTTCTTACGTTCTGCATCCGTTTTTTGCATTGAAGAGTGTTTGCAGTGTCATGGTTGTTGAGGCATAACTTGCATGTGTGCTTCTGTGGGCTTGTGTGCGTGTGTGATGAGCAGATTCACGGAGTGATGACAGCGTTTGGTCGGTTGTGTGTACTGGTGGATGAGAACACACATGCCATCCACTTCTTTATCACAGCACTGCTGCAGGTATGCTTGTCTAGTCTAGTGACCAATGCATTGCCATGGCCACCTCACTCGCCTAACCATTTCCTCTTGCGCCTTACCCTATCCGCACTCTAAACTCTCCTGCTAAGTTTCCGTTGGAGTGTCGTCTCCCTGTCCTCACTCAATACCTGTTATTCTCGCTGCCCATCTTCCCTTCATTACAGCTATGTGACCGTGCGGGTCTCCTGTATGGTGAAGTAGCCAGGTTTGTGCTGCGCCTGCTCGGTTTTCGCACGCCGCCAACTCAACGCAAAGGGCTTCCCCCCGCTCCTGATGCTGCTCTGCTGCGTGGTGCTCCTGCTGCTGGTGCTCCTGCCGGCTCTGCGCCCGCTGCTTTCTCAGCACCGGCAAAGACTGCCTTTTCTCCTGGTGCTGCTGCTGCTACTGCTGCTGGTTCATCACATGCTGCTGCTCCTGCCGGAGGTGCTGCTGCTGGAGGCCCGGCTGGTTCGTGGGATAACCTATGGCCAGGGAGTTCGTAGAGTAATGGTGGAGGAAGAGAGGTCTTGAAGAAGAGTGGGCTGGAGAGTTTGGACATGGGTGGATGGATGGGATTGTTGGTTCTTGCATCTGGGGCAGCTGTGCGTTTGGTGCGGGTGCTCGCATATGCGGTCGGTCGGTCGGTATACGTCGTTCTCGACTTCCTGTGGTGCTGTGCCAAAAGGCAGTTGAGAAGGTCACTTGTGCCAAATGGCACTGCATGGTTGTAGGAGCAAGTCTAAATGTTTCATTGGTTCTTTGTGGATAGATTATATACTTGTGAATATGGTACAGTTGGCATTGAATGCTTTGTAATTGTTACGAGTGCAATTGAGTGAACGAACGAGAATTGCACTATCGAAGCAAAAGTACAATGAGCGAAGGCATGAGCGAAGGATTATATAGCGAAACAATAGTGGTAACGGTAATGGACTGTGGTTGTCGCGCGACGAGCCTGGGACTGAGGTTGGGAAAGTGTCGAAGCGTAGGCCCGGAGCGCGGGTTACCAGCCGAGCCGTGAGGTCGGGATGCGATGTGCGAAAAGGGCGGGATAATGAATGATGCGATGGTCGCGAGTGGTAACGGTGGTGACTGAGGTGCTACAGTGACGTACGCGTTGAGCAGGGACGCGAAGTAAGGAAAACGGAATTTCCTTACACTACCCCTCTCCCCAAGGAGGCCCCTCTTACGAGAGCGCATGGACGTCGCGGAAATTTCGGCTTCGCAGATACTCGGGGAAGACAGGGTGGTTCTCAATTTTATCCAGGGGGACCCAGTTGTCTTCTGTGGGCGTTCGGTCCTTCCAGCGAATTAGGAACTCGATCCTTCGGGCTCCCCGAGGGTCGCGGACTCGGTGGCTGAGGATTTTTTCAGGGGTGATGAGTGGTTCGGTTGGGGGACGTGTCATGCTGGCTGGGCGATTTCGTGGCAGTTGGCTCGTGGATGGGATGTAAGGACGAAGTAGGCTGACGTGGAATGACGGGCTGACGTACCAGTCAGCAGGGAGGAGGAGGTGGGCGGTGACGGGTGTGATCATGTGGCTGATGCGAAATGGCCCACAATATCGGGGGCGAAGTTTTGGAGTGATGGGCAGGCGAAGATTCTGAGTGTCGAGTAACACGAGGTCGTCGGACTGATAAGTAACGGGTCTGCGATGTCGATCGGCGTTACGTTTAGCGATGATGTTTGATTTTTTGATTGCTTCTGCTGCCCTGGTCCGTGCTGCTTGCAGAATCTCGGCGAACTGTTGTGCTCGTGGGACGGGGTTGTCGGGATTCGGTGTCATGGGTACTGTTGGGTCCTGTACGTAATTCAAATAAAACGGCGACTGTTGCGTCGTGGCCGATGGTGCGTTATTGTATGCGAACTCGATGAGTGGCAGCTGCTGTTCCCACGTATTTGGGTCGTCGCACGTGGCTCGAATCAGCTGCTCCATGGTCTGATTTGTCCGTTCCGTCTGTCCGTCGGTTTCGGGGTGATAGGATGAACTGAACTGTAAGCGCGTGCCGAACTGCTGCCACAGGTTCCGCCAGAAGTTGCTGGTAAATTTCGTGTCCCTGTTGCTGATGATCGACGCGGGTATCCCGTGCAGTCGTACGACGGTGGAGATGAAGAGTCGGGCGGTTTCTTCGGCTGTGATGGATTTCCTGCATGCTGCGAAATGAGCCATTTTCGTTAGTCGATCGACGACGACCAGGATCGCGTCATTCCCACTCATCCCAGCTGGTAACCCCGTGACGAAGTCCATCGTCACCTGCTGCCAAGCACGCTCTGGAGGCGGGATGGGTTGTAATTGCCCCGCTGGTCGCTTCCTGCTTGACTTCATGAGCTGGCAAGTGGGACACGATGCCACGTGTCGTTGCACATCGGTCAACATTTCTGGCCAGTAGTAGTACCGCTGCAGCTGCTGCCGTGTTTTTTCTACCCCGAAGTGTCCCGAGGTAACTCCGTCGTGTGCTTCCTGTAACAGTAGTTCCCGCAGTAGCGTGTATCCCGGTACCCAGATGCGGTCGGTTCCAGTTTAAACGTAATAGACTCCTTTTGCCGCTGCGAATTGCTGTGAGTTGCCTCCTGTAAAGAACGGGTCTGTTTGATATCCGTGGGTAAATAGGCCTGTCAGTAGTGGGCTGGTCTGGGCGAGTAGTATCGCGTGGATCTGGGCAGTGGGGCGGGTCAGTGCGTCGGCGATATTCGATGCTCCTTTTTTGTATGTGACCGTATAGTGGAAATTCGACTCGAGGAAATCGAGCCATCGAATCTGTCGTGGGTTGAGGTGGGGCTGTGCGCAGAGGTACTGTAGAGATCGGTGGTCTGTCCGTACTGTCACGTCTGCGCCGGTCAAGTAGCAGCGCCAAACTTTGAATGCATGCACGATCGCGAGCATTTCGCGGTCGTGTATCGGGTAATTTCGCTCAGGCGGATGTAGTTTGCGTGATTCGTAGGCGATGGGTTGGAGGCCGTTGCCGAAGTCCTGTAACAGTACAGCTCCGATGGCGATGTCACTTGCGTCGATAACCACTTCGAAAGGGCGGTGGGGATCAGCGATACGTAGAACGGGTGGTGAACAGAGAACGTTTTTTAGGGCAGAGAAGGCAGCATGCTCTTTCTCCCCCCACGTAAAAACGACCCCGTTACGCAGTAAATCAGTTAGTGGGGCTGTTAAACGTGCCATGTCGGGCACGAACCGTCGAACGTAATTAACAAACCCTAAAAAACTCTGCAGTTCCGTGATGTTCGTCGGGGGGCGCCACGCTTTTACCGTATCCAGCTTCTTTGGGTCAATCTCAACCCCGGCCTCTGAAATGACGTGACCTAAAAACTCTAGCCTATCCCTAAAAAACTCGCACTTGGAGCCCTTGGTGAGCAGCCGATGTTCCTCTAAAACCTTAAAAACTGCTTCAAGATCTGCTAAGTGTTGCTGCTTATCCCGACTGTAAACGAGGATATCGTCGAGGTAAACGATCACGCATTTATCTAAAAGTGGTCTAAACGCCTCGTTCATGGTCATCTGAAAAGTCGCAAGCGCGTTCGTCAACCCGAAAGGCATTACTGTATACTCGAATGACCCGTACCTAGTCCTAAATGTTGTTTTTGCGCAGTCCGATGGTTCGACCCGAATCTGATGGTAACCTCCCCGTAAATCTATTTTCGAAAAGACACGTGCTGTTCGCAGTTGGTCAATCAGTTCGTCGGCGCGGGGGATGGGGTATCGCGATTTGACTGTTACCCGGTTAAGCGCCCGGTAGTCGATGCAAATGCGAAAACCTCCGTCTTTTTTCGGTGTGAACAGTATGGGTGCGGCGAACGGTGACGAGCTTGGTCGAATAAACTGCTTCTCTAACAGGTAATCTAACTGCTTCCTTAACTCGTCGAGCTCGGGCTGTGTCAGTCGAAATTGCCGTTGTACTGTTGGCTGTGCCCCCGGTTCTAACTCGATCCTATGGTCGTGCGCTCGCTGAGGTGGCAGTCCCTGTGGTAAATCATCCGGAAAGATCCCCGGGAACCGTTTCAGTAGTGCCTGTAATTCGGTCGGTACGGCTGCTAGTAGTTTCTTTAAATCATTCTGCTGCTCGTCTTTTTCTACCACTGCGATATCCACTGCGTACACGTCAGCTCCAGCAGCGACAGCCCGTTTCATCGTGATGGCGTTGACCTGGACTGTCGAAGATTCGGGTGGCCGCCAGCGAGGTAGGACGACCCAGTTACCGCTACTTCGCACTGTGCAGCTTCCCGTCGTCCAGTCGATCCGTGGGTTGTACCGTCGCAGCCAATCACGTCCCAGTAAAATGTCGTGCCCATCCAGCGTCGTTGCGAGCATTTCCTGTGTAAACCCGAAGTTTCCCCCGCAGCGGACTTTTACTCGCTCCACTTTTTCTCGTATGGCCAATGGCGTGCCGTCAACTAAGCGTGCATCTATCTCAGGTAAACATCGGTTAAGTATTAACTGTAATTTTCGTGCGGTTGCAGTATTTACTAAGCTGTGACTTGCTCCTCCGTCAATGAAGATTTTCACTGCTGCTCCCTGTATTTTCCCGTAGATCAGTACCGGGCAATCCGTCGCTGTACCCTCCTTATTCATCCGAGCCCGATCGATGGCGTGAATCGGTACTGTGACTCGGTGAGGGTCGGTGTGGTTGGGCGAGCAGGCAGTCTCGTCAGTAGTTGGCCCAACTTCTACTGACTGCTGGCGTTTCCCTGCCTCTGAGACTCCTTCCCCTGCTCTGCTCCTCGACGCCTCAGCTCCTCTGGACATTCGCTCTTGCGATGGCCCGGCCGGTTGCAAGCAAAGCAGCGCCCTCTAAATGGCGTGGCAGCTGCATTCGTTGCGACGGCATGTACAGTGGCGTGCTCGATTGGTCCCCGAGGGCGATGTCCGAAATAGGACCCCGGTCTCGGTCGGCGTAGGATATCGATTTTCTCGGCGAGCGCGAGGATTTCGTTGAAATTCAATAGCCCGCGTAGCATTATCTCGTGCGATATGTCCGGCTTCAGCCCTCCGACGTAACGGTCCACCCGCTCCGCCTCGTGCATGTAGCCGACCTATTCGCAAAGTGCGAGAAAACCGCTGGTGTAGTCTTGAACCGACCCGAGCTGGCGCCAAGTGCGCAGTTTCTGACGCGCCGAAATCGAAGCCGCGATCGGCTCAAAACGCGCCCGAAGCCCTGCGCACCACGCATCCCACGTGCTGTATTGGGCTGTTTCGCAGAACGAACTCCGGGTGACAGCTGGACCCGAGGGCCCTTCCTCGTGCGACGGTGGCTCGTAGGCGCGTGGCGACGTCACGATGACTCGCCACCAGTCCATGGCGGGGCCCCTGAGTAGTGAAACCGCATACCGAATCTTGGCGGCGTCCGACTCGACGTAGTTGGCGTCGAAAAACACATTCATCGTGAAGACCCACGATTGAACTGTCGGGCCGCCGCGTTGGCTTGGGTCGAAGCAGGGCGGGCGTTGCGGCTTGAGTGGCATTGGGGCCATCATGGCGTTTTCACCACTTGTCGCCGCAAACTCCACGTGCCGACGGGCTTCTCGGGGCTCCCGTGGGCTTAGCGTGCTCCTGTTCCCTCCCATGCCGGGCATCGGTTGGGCTGCGCCGTCACTGGCTGCGCCTGAGCGCTGTCCCGTGCTGTTGTGTTGCGTTGGTGTGCCGGATGAGATGACAATCGGCTCCTCCGAATGTACAGAAACATTGGTTGGTGCGTGGGATGTTGTCGGAGCATTCACCGTTGACTGTTGGCGGGCGGAGTCACGTTCCGCCGTGAGCATCGCGATTTCAAGCGCCGAATCCTCCAGTTGTCGCACGAGACGATCGAGTTGCTCCTGCGTCAACGTGGCGAGATTGAGGTCGGCCATGGCGGGGGTGTCGGGCAAGCTCAGCGAGAGCCTCGGTCGTGGCCGTGCGTGCTTGCGAGAGAGCACTACGAGCGGCGGTGCTGTGTCGCTGAGAGACGTCTACCCCCCCCAAAAATTGAGATAGTGGGAA